TCAAATCCAAAAAAGAAACACTGGACTGATGATACCTGCCACATGGAGCTTGAAACTAAATAAACTGTAACTGGTTATTAGAAAGTCAATGGCATAATAATTCAATCTGTCAGGTAAAATATAGGAACGTGAGGAAGCCAAAGTAAGAGAGAGAGATAAACAGAAGAGAAGAGGAGGAGGAGGAAAGGAAGGACAGGGTGGGGGTGGGAGGGAGAGCACACAGCACTGGAAAGAGGAAGAACAGCAGCACAGGATAAAACTACGATAACCAAAATGGAATTAACTAAAAAGCCCAAGACACTACAAGAGCATGCTATATTAACAAGGATAGGATCATGGCTCCCCAGCTTCCCACTTACATACTGAAAACAAATGCTGTAAAGAACATACAAGCACATAGGTAAACTTTTAGCAGTGTCTATTTTAAAACTATTCATATAATTTTTAAAAAGAGGCATGTAGCTGATGCATTATAAATTAGGGGGCCAAAATTTGGCGTTCTATTTGTTACAAATCAAATTAATAAAAGAAAGGTTTAACTTTCTTTCTTACTTTGATTTAGTGAAATCATCTGAAAATAAAGTCACTTTAACAAGTGTTGGCGACCAACTTTTAATAATACATATTTAATTTTCAGAAACATATGCTAACCATCAACAACATAATCAGGGTTCCATTGCCCCAGATGTTATTTCATTGGTACATCATATCAATATTTACAAAGGCTTTCAAATTCAACAACACAAAATAAAACAGCTTAATTTTTAAAAACTACAATGCTATAAAAAAAATGTAAACAGTTCATTTTTACATTATTGTAAAAAAGAAGACTCACTCATTAATGTGGCTTAATTTTTTTTTAAGTGAGCAAATCCTGGTGCTCATGGATAAAGAATGAAAAGAATTCTTCACATAGAAACATTGTGCTCCAGTGTGGCAAAGAAAAAAAATTATAAATACACATACAAAGAAAAGAATCTTAAGTCCACAATTTAGACCACAAAAAAAAATTCTTGTCCCCAAATTGAGAAATTTATAAAAAACCATTTACACACGGTTATTGACCTATTGAAAATCTGTATAACATTTTCAAAACAATAACTCCGTTGAAAGATACTTTTCTTAAAAATGAAATTTTGTGCAAAATAAATTGGTTAAGCTAGAAACAAGACTAAATAAATTGTTTAAGCTAGAAACAAGACTACCCCCCGCCAGTAAGAGGCCAAAAGAGCCACTGAAATAATTTAATTGTTAGATTTAGTGCATGTAACCAAAAGGCACACACATGTGATTAATATATTAATATCTTTTCATGCAGAACCCTGTGCATGTTCATAATTATATAACAAAAACACAAATATAACAAAACATAAAGCCTAATGTTTGGCAATGTTAATCTAGCCACATTCCTTTCTAGTCTATCAGCCCAGAGTTTCCTAGAACATTAACACTGCCTCTCAAAAAAATATATTATATTTGAACAGCTTTCAATAAAAATTAAAAAAGGATGTTAGCCTGAAACACTATAATATTTTTTTCGGTTCTGATACATATAGAAACGTACTCATATGTTTATTTTAAATGTCATATCAAATTAAGATACATTTTTCCTTTTGTTAATAAACACTTTGATTGCTCCAGTGAAGTCAGCAGAAAGAAGAACTTCTGTGTTATCTGTCTTCACAAAACCTTAAAAGCATAAAAAATTGTTTTAGTTAATTTTAAAGGAATGCCCACTGGCACAATCATCACAATTATTGGGTGGGGGATTGTCTTCCTAGTCTCTGTTTTCTGGCTGACTCCTATACATACCCCTTTGATCCTGCTGTACCTCACCTCTCCGAAGCTCACTTTCACTTACTTTGTCTTAGGTGGTATTTCCCTGGTTTGAGGATATTACAATCCCTTGGGGCATGGATGCCTAAATTTACTCCTAAGCAGCCAAGGTCTAATGCTTCATTTCATGGCAAAAGACTGGTGTGGTATATAGCTCCAGGACTGGAGCAGACTGGGATCAGCTGGACAAGTCTGGTTTTTTTTTTTTCCTTTTCTTTCTTTTTTTTTTTTTTTGAGAGATTTTCACTGTACATCTGTACAGCATACAACACAGATTTTTCCCAGAATAATACGTTATATATTAGTCTAGTCAAAGATATTACCATATACCCACAATCCCTTGTCCTCCATTATCCTCTTGGGATCTTGGGCACACACGCACATGCGCCCGGTGTGAGTTTTAAGCCACCGGGTCCGGGACGCGAACCGCGGTCGACTACATGGGAATCCAGTGACATAGCCATTACGCTAACTGCTGGTTCCCAACATGGTACATTTTTGAAAAGCTTTTAAAACTAAAATGTATTTTTCATTTTTCCTCAAATTATTTAAAAAGCTAAAAATTCCAGGCCAGCTCCATGGCCTGGTGGTTGAGGCAGCCAGATCTCATATGGCCAACTATATGTGGTTCAAATCCCAAACCTGGTGACTTGAGAAACATTTGGTGCATGTATACATGCCCCAGATCCTGAAAGAAGGGAGAGATGGAGAAAGGACTGAAGTATGACCATTCCCCACAGGGATGCCTCCTTTCTGTCCCTCTTGTTCTAGTAAGTGCACACCCCCACTAGCAATCAATCATCAAAGCTAAATTTTCCTGTGTAATGTATAAAGGGATTATATAAAATGTAAAGTATCGCTGGGGGAAAAAAAAAGAAAAATGACTTGATTTAGAAGAGAGAAGCTGGATTTGATTCTGAGAAGAAAAAAAGTAAATAGAAGGGTAGTCCCATAGTCTGGTGGTGAAGGGAAGCCAGATTCCAGATAGCCAACCGTGGTTTGAATCTTGGCCCTGGGAACTTGAAAAACATGCCAGGCACATATGCATGTGTGCCCAAAATCCTGGCAGGATACAGAAATGGAGAAGGGATTGCAGCGTGACCATATCCCATTAGGGGGTGATTTCTACCTCTTCCTCTGCTGAGTATATATGACTTCTGGCAATTAAGAAAGCATTATTTCCAGGGACTAGCAGTTAGCATAATGGCTATGTTGCTGGACTCCCATGTAGTCGACCGAGGTTCACGTCCAGGACCCCGTGGCTTAAAACTCACGCCGGGCGCGTGTGCGTGCGTGCCCAAGATCCCGAGAGGAGAATGGAGGAGAAGGGATTGCGGCATGGCCACCCCCCCCGGGGGGGTGATTTCTCGCTTTCTGTCTCTCTGTCTGTCTCTGTCTGTCTGGCGAGCACACACACCCTATAGCAAAAACCTCTCAAAAATAAATAAATAAATAAAAAGAAAGCATTATTTCCAAATAGTCAGTTTGCAAAAGTCTGATAATTCGGAGTTGGCTTATTTTTACATCTTGTAATTGACACAGATGCTAGAGTGAAGTTCATTTTTGTTATCAAAGTCCTCTTCAGGGCTGGCCAGACCTGTTGCCTAATGGTTAAGGGAGCTGGATCCAACATGGCCAACTTGTTTGAATCCTGGCCCTGGTGGCTTGAAACACACACCAGGTGCATGTATGTGCTTGCACAAAATCCCAGCAGGATGGAGAAATGGAGAAGGGAATGTGGAATGACCACACCATACTGGCGGTGCTTTCTCCCACCCTCTCAACCCCTGTCTTTCCCTGGTGAGCACACAGCCCCTCAGGCAATTAAAAAAATTCCTTTTCATGGGCAGGAGAAATAGTGTATTGAATGGATAGTGCAATTACTACTACAGAGGACGTTACTTGAGATTAAAAGTACTGCTGTGTGTCACTTTAATGACAGAAATATGTTCTGAGATATGTGTTGTTAGATGACGTTTTCATTGTGTAAATATCAGAGTGTACTTACACAAACCTAGACAGTAAAACCTACTATGTACCTAGACTATATAATAGACCCTATTATACCCTTATAGGATTGTAGACTAAAAACATGCAGTGCGTGATTGACTGTATTTGAGTACTTGCCAACATTCAAATACTTTTAGTAGCAACCTTGTATGCTGTATCTATTACTGTAATGTTATGACTCTCTAAAAGGCCTGGTTGTAGTCTAGAGAGTAAAAAACACATTTGGTAAACTATTCTGCAAGTGATTTTAAATAATGCAAATATTTTCCCTATAAGTGGTTCAAACTTGCATGAATTTACCATATTCTTAAGGACTAGTAGGGACTATTTTTATATAACCAATTGGAACTCAAAACTAGTTTTTGACAATTTCTTTTCACTTCTTATATGAGCATTCTAAATAACTGGAATTACTACTCTTCCTCAAAGCATATGCTACAAATAACAAGAAAGTACAGGCTTGTACATAGCTACCTAACTCAAGAAGCTATAAATTTGTGGCAAGTAGAAAACAATTGTGCTTTCATTTGAGTTTAGTATCATTTAATTAACTTAGTATGAAATGTTTATGGAGAACCTACTAGATGTAGGCAAGAATTTTGCTAGGCAATGGCAACACAACAATAAATAAAATACATAAAGTCTCTGACCTCTTAAAGATTACAATCTAGTAAGAGAGACAGATAATAAAGACATTTTATATTTGTATATCTTGTTTACATTTATCTAAAGAGAATGTTTGCCTATAAACAATTATGAATTTATGAAATTTTCATTTTTAATACCACAGTGAATTTAAAAGGAAGTAAAACTTGTAAGAAATATGGTACTGGAACATTCAAAAAAGGTTATCAGACAACTATTAGGATGTAAACAAGAAATATTCTTTATACTCATGAAAATCTCATTGTGCCCAATATTAGGTAAATGAAGGTACTAATAGCTGGCTAGAAAAATGTAGGACAAGTACAATATGAGTACCTACCAGAGGGTGTGGTATCCAAAACTTCAGCATCTTCATCTTTATTGCTCCCTTCTGATTTCTCAGCTTGCACATCCAAAGACAACATTAAACTTGGGTTTGGAGCAAAAATGGCTGATGTAACAACAGCATTATGTGCTGGGAAAAAAATTTTCTTTAGCATAACTGATAAATTTCTTATTAAACACCAAGACAAAAAATTTGCAAAAAAAAAATATATCAGTACAGGTCATATGCCATATCATTTAAAACTAATATAAAAGTAACTCATCAGGGACCAGCAGATGGCATACTGGTTATGTTGCTAGACTCCCATGTAGGTGACCACAATTCAAGTCCTGGACCCGGTGGCTTAAAACTCACGACAGGCATGTGTGTGTGTGTGCATGCCCAAAATCCTGAGGAGAATGGAGAAGGGCTCGTGGCATGGCCATCTCCCCGGAGGGGTGATTTCTTGCTTTCTGTATGTTTCTGGTGAGTGTGTGCACCCTATACCAAAAATCTCTCTTAAAAAAAGTGCAACTAGGGACCAGCACTTAGCGTAATGGCTATATCGCTGGACTCCCATGTAGTCGACCGTGGTTTGCATCCCAGACCTGGTGGCTTAAACTCACGCCAGGCGTGTGTGCGTGCGTGCCCAAGATCCAGAGAGGAGAATGGAGAAGAAGGGATTGCGGCGTGGCCATCCCCCCTGGGGGGTGACTTCTCGCTTTCTGTCTCTCTCTGTCTGTCTGGCGAGCGCACACGCCCTATAGTGAAAACCTCTTCAAAAAAAAAAAAGTGTAACTAAACAATATAAAACCTTAAAAAACATATTAAGTTTTCCAGAAGATGCATGCATTCTCTGGAGAGAAAGAGAGGGAGAGAGAATACAACCCATTCCATGGGACACAGTCATGCCATGATCCCTACTCCTCCATCTCTACATCCTGTTGGGATTTTGGACATGCATGTACACGTGACCAGCATGTTATCAAGCTGCTGGGTCTAGGAGTCAAACTCTGAGGCCAGCCATGTTTGGTCCAGGTGCCTTCCAGGCAACAGGCTGGCTCAACCTAAACATATTTTCTTAATAAAATGCCATATAAACAGGGCCAGCAGGAAGCATGGTGGTTGAGGTGCTAGATCTCACATGGCTGACTCTGCAGTTTGAGTCCCAGACCTGGTGGCTTTAAAAGCATGTGCATGCATGCCTCAAATCCTGAGAGTGGAATGGAGGAGATTCTGTTATGCTATCCCACCAGGAGTTGATTCTTACTTTCCCTCCCTCTGCCTCTCTGTCTCATGCCTGTGCCCTATGGAAAAAATCTGAGGAAAAAAAGCCATATACAAGTTCTGAGACTCCATGATGTCTCAATTTTTAGACCACAGTAAGTTGTTCCTTGGTATAGAAAAACCAAACAAGCAAAGCCAAATATAAAGTAAAAATATCAATAGTCATAACTGCCACAATGTCCCTCTCAGATGGTACCTATAGAAAATTTACTTCTAATACATCTCCAGTTTAATTTTATTCTCTCATAAGACACACAAAAACAGACATTTGTGGGGCCAGCAGATGGTGTAGTAGTTACACCACTGGACTTGCACATGACCAACTATAGTTCAAGTCCTTGACCTGGTGGCTTCAAAGTGATGGTCAGACACATGTGTGTGTGTGTGGCTAAGATTCTGGGAGGAGAATGGAGAAGGGGTTGTGGTGTGGCCATACCCCTGGGGGCTGATTTCTCACCTTCCCTCTCCCTCTGTTTCTCTCTCCAGCGAGTGCATGTGCCACAAAAACCTCTTTAAAAACAAAACAAAACACAGACATTTGCTTACCTTTAATACCTTCCCAGAAGTCATTACGATCTCTCCTGACTGAAGTAAACTTGCTTAGGTCATGGTAAGTACTCCATATATAAACATACTTATCTTCTGAACCACTAACAAGGTAAGTAAAATCATGGCTAAATTTGGGGAAGAAAGGAAAGAAAAATCAAATTTTCTGTGTGTGCTTTCATTTAGGTTTCCTCCTATCAGTATCTCTCACTTTATAATACCTAAGACAATACCTGAACAGAACTTGTTGAAAATGTAGACTCTCAGCCTCTCTCTAAAGGGTCTGAATGTATAGGTCTGAAGGGAGTGGGAGGTGGGGAGGGCAGACATTTATATTTTCATCAGAGCTCTAAATACCTGTTACGCTAGATGATTCATAGTGGGAAGAACAATGTCTTAAGAGGTGAAAGACATTAGCGGAGCACTTTATCAACTGAATTACTGGGTAATTCAAGAAGAAAGGAATATCTGATAAAAATGTTAGAAAAAGGGACCAGCAGATGGCATAATGGTTACGTCGTTGGACTCCCACGAAGTCAACCTCGGTTAGAGTCCAAGACCTGCAGCTTGAAACTCAGGCTGGCGTGTGTGCATGTGTGCTCAAGATCCGGAGGGGAGAATGGAAGACATGGTATTGTGGAGTGGCCATTCCCCCTGGGGGGTGATTTCTTGCTTTCTGTCTCTCTGGTGAGCACATGCACCCTACAGCAAAAATCTCTCTTAAAAAAAAGAAAAAAGCATTAGAAAGAAAAAATAGTCAGGTAACTCTACATCAAAAGAGCCTGGGACCAGCAGTTAGCATAGTGGCTATGTTGCTGGACTCCCCTTAGTCGACCGTGGTTCGAGTCCTGGACCTGGCGGCTTAAACTCACGCCAGGCGCGTTGTGCGTGTGTGCCCAAGATCCCGAGAGGAGAATGGAGGAGAAGGGATTGCGGCATGGCCATCCTCCCTGGGGTGAGTGGGGGGATGATTTCCTGCTCTCTGTCTCTCTGGCAAGCACACGACCCCTAAGAGCAAAAACCTCTCAAAAAAAAAAAAAAAGAGCCTGAAGATTCCCAATTAAGAGTTCAAATCATTATGATATATGAAAGTATAAATATAGGACTCTGTGCTTTTAGACATTAGAATAGTATTTGAGCTTTTGTACCTCTTCCCCAAACTATAAGAATAAAATAAAGACAATTGATTGGGGCAGCATTAAGAATCATACTAAAAGCTTACATAAAAGGTTTTTTTTAAGGGTACATGCACTTGCTGGAGAGAGAGAGAGAGAGAGAAAGTAAAAAAGCATCACTCAGGTAGGATGGCCATACTGCAATCCCTTCTAAATTCTCTTGAGATTTTGGGCACCCATGCACATGTGCCCAGTGTGATTTTCAAGCCACCGGGTTCAGGACTTGAACCATGAAGTAGACCACGTGGGATCCAGCACTATACTACCTGCTGATAGGCTACATAAAACAAAGCAAAACAAAACAAGGTCCTACATATGCTGTCTCCAACTGAGACTCTGCAGATCCAGAGATGCAAAACAGTATGAAAATGTAAGGATAGAAAAACATACACCATGAAAACAAGTTCCTAGAGTGACACAAACTACCTACACTGAATCAAGTAGAAATAGAACATCTGAATAGATCTATTATAAGAGACTGAATTTGTAATTCTAAGACTTTTAAGAAAAGCCCAAGTCCAGATAATTTCAATGGTGTCTGATAAAAAAAAAATACAAAGTTGGAAGACTTGTACTTATTGATTTCAAAGATACAAAGTTAAATAAAAAGAGTAGTGTTCCCATAAGGCTATGCACAGAAATCTATGGAATACAACTGAAAATTCGGAAACAAATCCTATGTTTATAGTCAATAAAAAATAAAAAACAACACACATACACACAAACAAAACCAAAACCAAAAAAACTCTTATTATGTTAGGATATTAAGTTACAATTAAACCATTAGAATGTTTGTTAAAAAGAAAGCTTACATAAAAATAGAAAAGCAAAAATTCTGGAGCTGAGAGTCTTCTAACTGGGCTCTCCAACTAACTGACTTTAAGCCAATAACTTATTTTTCTGGGTCTTGGTTGCTTCATCTGCAGAACAGATACAATTCTAACTCTATCTACCACACAGGTGAACAAGGTTAAGTTCTGCATGATGACAGAATGAGACACCAGCTATAACGTGCAAAGAAACTAAAAATCCCAGATAAATATACAACACAAACCAATGGAAAAATAGGTCTAGGGAGCAATGTTCTGATCTCCTGTGATGACTTCTCATTGCATATTTACCTAAAACTTGCTTTGATCTGGCTGCTGCTGTTGACATAACCCTTATACTTCATGGACAGTGACAAATCTCTCAGATCATAAAGTCTGATTCTAGAATCATTTGAGGTTACCAGTATCTAAAAATAAATAAAAGAAAAAGTTACATAAATATACCTCAAAACTAGTATTTCATAGGAAAGGAAATATATTAGATATCAATAACTAACTCTTTTTAAGCCTACATATACTATGAAGAGAAACGGGTTTGAATATTACAGTACCTTATTTTCTCCAGGTAAAGGTTCTATACCAGTAATTTTTCTTCCAACCTTATTGCGGCCTCTAGTAGATCGGACATGTATTTGTGTATGGTATTTCAAATGCTAAAAAGAAATCATGAATTACAATTGTAAGTTAGAAGAAATGAATATGGTATTATTTGTCCTAATTTACATAGAAGGCAGTTAGAGGCTAGAGAGGATAAACAACTTGTCCAAGTTCATAGAATTACGAATAACTATGGTCATGTGCCAAATGATGTCTCAGTCAACATTAGACTATGTAAACAACAGTGATCCCACAGCCGAAATGTGTATCCTATTAGATGGCTATACCATTTAGGATTGTGTAAGTATACTCCATGATATTTGCATGATAAAATCACCTGACACAATTCTCAAAACATATCCTTGTCATTAAGTGACACATGACTATATTCAATTATGTAATTCACACGAGATATTCATTTACCTCTGTATCATAGAAAATACATCTGCCATCATATGTCCCAATCACTGCATATTTGCCATTCTGACAGAAATTTGCAGCTGTGAAAAATTTTGTCTGACCATCTACTTCATTCCACAAAGCCACTTTTTTGTCAGGTATGTTCCAAAGGCGGAGCTTTCCATCCAAAGACCCACTTAGAAAATACCTGTCATCCTTAAAAGGTGGCAACAGAGAAATATTTCACCACATCAAGAAAAACTCATTAGCAAATCAAAATATTATATCTATTAAAATAACATAAAATGTAGATAAAAATTATTAATATTCAAGCAAGCTTTATTTTAATGCATTAAAAACAATAATTACAATTAGATGGGCTGGCAGGTGGCGTGGTGGGTAAGGGTGCTGGACTCCCATGTGGCCAACCATGGTTGGAGTCCCAGACCTGGCGGTTTCTTTCTGACTTTCTCTCTTTTTCTCTCACTCTTCCCTCTCTGGTCAAATTGAAATTAATAAAGTTAAAAAAAATTAGAAGCTTCAGATTAATTTTGGAGAAACGATAGTCTAATCACTTTATCATATCCTTAAACTGCTTTTTCCAAGGTATGATATCAGTAGATAATGTATTTTAGTTGCATGGAAGAAGGTTCTAATCTGAGAAATTCTGAGTATCGAAAGTTAAACAGGATTCTCAGTTGACTGGCATTCTGAATCTCCCAAGGGGTAAAGTATTCCAACTTATTTAACCACAAACTTTTTTTAGGCAGGGGGTGGTCAGGCAGGAACATCTAATAGGGCTAGCACTTTCAAGCAACATGTTTTGGGAAATACTATCTTACAGCATTACCTCCTCTGGGATACGTGTAACAGATAAAAGAGTAACAGTTAGTAGTCTACAGAATCAGTATTTTTTTTGGGGGGGGGACTGACAGCAAAGAATCACTTCACTATTCAAATTCTCAATCTCATACTAGGGCTTTTCACCATGGGCCAATTTGACCTGGCAGGGTACATCTAGCAATGTCAGAGATATTTCTGGTCATCTGGGGGTATGGTGGGATGCTACCAGCATCTAATGGGTAGAGGCCAGGAATGCTGTTAAACATAATACAATGTATAGGACACTCTTCCCTCTCCCTATAACAAAGAATGTCAACAGTGCCATGTTTGAAAAACTCTGCTTTAAACTAAACCCGTTCTACCACTAAACTGGTCTAATTTTTGGCAACATAAGATCTAAAGATTAAATAATTGAGAGACTGAAATAAGAAACGGATTCTCTTCTCCATTCAAGATTATTATTCTTACTCACCTCTGAAACTGGTCAAGCACAATCTACAAATGATGGGCATTTTCAAAAAATTTTCACTTTTATTAACCTAGTTTTGTCTGTTTGTTTGCCATAGGGTGTGTACGCTCACTGGAGAGAGACGGAGAAAGTGAGAAATCACCCCCAGGGGGATAGCCATGCTGCAATCCTTTCTCCTCTTGGGATTTGGGGCATGTGCCTGATGGACTCAAACCATGGTCAGCTATGTGGGAGTCCAGTGCCTTAACCACCACATCACCTGCTGGCCCCATGATGGGCATTTTTATGGCTATCATATAGTAGGCTCTACTCAACGTCTTCCAGTAGTAGAGCTAAACAAGCAAAAACACTTCATCTTGGTTTTCTATTCCAGAATTCTGTTTACATACATACATACACACATGTATGTATGCATGTGTGTGTACCACAATTCTGCTATTTCTAAGTATGTTACCTTTCTCCCAGGTAACATAATAGCTATACTGCCTAAGAAAATGTTGACAACATTCCATTCTTTCTTGGCTCCTCTCAAAAGCCCTTTAGGTCAGTAGAGTTTTTAGAAGTAGAAATTTTAAGTTTATAAAATAAAATAAAAATAAAGAAAAGTGAACAGAAACCTTAATTACAATGGCCTATAATTATTACACCCTAATATCTCCTTCCATCTTGATACTTTATAAAACTAAAATACTGGGTCGTCAGAAGTCATGATTTGTGTGTGTGTTTTTCTATGTAAAAATGTGTCAAGACTTATCCAACGTGGTGGGAAGGAACTAGCTCAGTTATCTGATAGGGATAAATCCATCTTTCTGCTGCATCTTTTCAGGGGTGGGTGAGATGTAATTCAGAAAAGAAAACTCTAATGGCTTTGTAGTCAAAACTGATAAGGAGTTACCACAGATCAAGAATTTTTAACGTTAAAAATTTTTAACCAAATCTTATCAGAGTTTAGAATTACTGCCTATGTTATAAGCCTGCTCAGGGAGAAAAACTGTTCTGAAAAAAAGGCCAGTCTTCTTTCTTAATGTGGGAGAAAAGAGAAAGAAATGCGAATATGATTGAAATGTTGTATTAAAAAGTAAAGAGTACAGAGACAAGAACATGATCAGCTCAAGTCTTCCACTTATTTTAATCTAGCTAGTAGAGTAAGCACCCACATGTGATTTCTCTTGTGCTTGCAGTTACAAAAACAAGGCTAATTTAACATTAGGAACATGGTAGCTCTATCCTATAAAGGTGTACAATAGTTCTATAATTCTATGACAACATACTTTTCTCCTTTGAAATCATATGAAATAATTTATTTCCAGAAGAAAGATATTAAAGAATTTTCTACATTGAAAATGAATCAGAAGGGACATCATTGCTAACAACAGAAATTCAATTTATCTTGTAATGAATTTTGGTCTTTGCCTATTTCAATTGTTTTCTCTGTCTCTTCTCTACCAACCTTCCCTCAACTATTCTGGCCTATATATTAAGTCGTCAGGAAAGTCATGGCGTATTTTTCTATGCAAAAAATGCATCATGACTTTCCCAACGACCCAATATTTCCCTTTTTCATTTATTCACCTGCTCTCCTCTTTGTCCTCCCATCTCCAATCTCTCTCATGTTTATTAGGATGATTTATTTATTTTCTGCATGATCTATAAAATTCGGTATTGATGCCAGCAGATGGCATGGCAGTTGTGTTGCTGGACTCCCACATGGCCAATCGCAGTTTAAGTCCTGGACTTGTTGGCTTGAAAATCGTGCCAAATGTGTATATGTACATGCCCAAGATCCCAGGAGGAGAACAGAGGAGAAGGGACCGCAGTGTGGCCATCCCCTCAGTGAGTGATTTATCACTTTCCCTCTCAGTATCTCTGTCTCTCCAGCGAACACACACACCCTAAGACAAAAGACCTCTTTTAGAAAAATTGGGGATGACTTTTTCACTGTAATATTTTGAATATGTGAATGTTATATTCAGTGGGCAGAAACTCATTAATTTCTAAATATAACCCTCTTAAGGGGGAGAACTATGAGTTATATTGAAAAAAGAGAACTCAAACGAGAGCCTATTTATCCTTTTCAAAGCAAAAATAGAACATGAAATGAAGTTGCTCTTAACTATATGGCTATTAAATTTTTCCTGTAGTCCAATTACCCGCCCCTCCTTGCCCCCGAGGGAAACCAGTTTCACTCATCTTCCTTATAGCATAACAAACAAACAAACAAACAAAAGTATATAAAGCTACTTACTCTTGGATGGAAAGCTATGGCAGTGACAAAATCTATATGCTGAAAACAGCAAAGACATTCTCTTCTAGAAATATGCCATAACCTGACAGTTTTATCCATTGAAGAAGAAAGCAGAAAGTAATTCTATGGAAAAAAAGACACTGATTATTTTATCATATTAAAAAAAATCTACTTACCTAATAAAAGTGAACTTCATTTCATGTCCTCAATAGTTTATTACTGTTACATGCAGCATCGAAAAAAACAAAGAAGTATTCAACTCACTTCAAAGATCCTATTTTTCCCCATATGGTTATATACCGTATTTCATTGATTCTAAGATTTTTTTTTCACATTAACTGTTCTGAAAATAGGATGAATCTTGTGATCTATAACTGAAAAAATCTGCCAGGCACCAGTAGAGGACTAAGGTTGTTATTGCCTTCATATAATGGAACTTTGCTATGAATATAAGGCATGTATTCATGTGACTGTCACTTTAAATTCAGTTATTTTCACATTGATAACACTGGTGAATTTTAACTCACATGGATTCCTAATTGTCACTTAAAATGGCTTTAAAAAGATTACCTTATAATACAGCATGGAAATGAAAAGTTATTGTGCACCTGTCACACCCTAGGCAAGAAAATTAGAGAATAGAAACTGTCAAATCTCTCAGAATAGATCACAGAATTTTCAAAGCTAGATGAGAATAGTATAACTGATTTAGGTATTTTGATGGCCCTATCACCCAGGAACCAAACATCTATCTGTCAAAAGGCTCCAGATGACAGAAACTCATTAATTTTTAAACATAACCTTCTTAAGGGAGAGAACTATGAGTTATATTGAACAAGGAAACTCAAATGAGAGACTAAAATTCTTAGGTATCTTGAAAGGTGTTAAACTAATTAAGGTAATGATGACATTTATTGAATATGTACGATGTGATCAACATTGTTCTTAGCACTACACAGCAACCCAGTGAGGTATGTATATTATCATCCCCTTTTACAAATGAGAACAGTGGGGCATAGACAGATGAAGCAACTTGCCGAAGGTTACACAGCTCATCAGTGGCACAGCTGGGATTCAAACCTGGGTAGTATGGCTTTAGGTTTAGGTTCTGACTACATTGTTCTGCAGAGTGCTTAAGTAGAACACATTATTATGAAAAACAACAAGATGCTTTATCATTTGCTAAAAGTAAAAATCTTCAACCTTTGGTAGTAAAAAGCCTAAATGCCAAGTATTTGTTTGGATATATAATTATACTGACATATATGTATATGCTATCTTGGGCTATTCTGAAAGTGTATATTTTATTCCTGTGCATCTGTTTCTACATAGATTGTATACTTTATGATTAAAATGAGAATTTCAAAGGTTTACAATAATCTTTTAATTGTCTAATAATTATTTTTATTTCCAAGATTCACTCAATTCCAGAAGTTTTGAAGAGCATATGTACTTTGCTTTGATTTCTTGTTGATTAACAGCTACTGTATAAAACTAAACATATACCCCACTGTTCATTAAATCTAGGTTTATTCAGTCCTTGTAAGAGTCCACTGCTTTAAGCATATGAAAGTGATATGAAGACAACCAAAAAGCATTATGTGAAGGTAATGAAGCCATGTTAAAAATTGTTCTATTATGCCAAGAGGTTTCTGTTCAATAAACTTATTGAAGAAGTAAAATTAAATAATTTTCTTGAAATAAGAGCTGGTATTGGGAGTCAAAGAACACACATTAAAATCTAAGTTCTACTTATAACTAGTTTTGTGATCTTATATCGGCCACAGAGGCCCAGTGTCCTTATCTAAAAAAATGAAAGATTGTCAAACTCATGGGATTGTTATTGTATGAATCAACAAGGGAATTCTTGTTACCTGGCATAAAATGTCTTCGACAAGTAGAAAATGCATTATAAACACTGATTATGCTAGACATTGAAGAGAAACAATAGTAAAATAAGATTTGGATTCTATCCTCAAGAAGCTTAGAATCTTATTGTAAACAAGACCTAGAAATGTACATAGCTAATGGTAAGGTAAGAATGAAATTTTAAGAGCATACAGAAAAGGAGAAGGGGTTTAAAAATTCAGTGAAACAGATTAATATTCACTTCAGTTGTCAGAGACAGCCATACAAAGGAGATGGTATTCAAGAGGCACATTAAAGGATATGCATCTTCATTAGGTGGAGAAGAGAGAGAAAGGCACTCTATGTTTGAGGCTGGAGAAATTTTGTTCCTTCCCTCTTGATGGATATTGTGTATGTGTGTGTGTGTGTGTGTGTGTGTGTGTGTGTGTGTGTGTGGGAGGGGATGGTGGTTAGGGATCATTCCTATATGGGGTAGAGACCCATAATATAACTCACATAGACTAGTGTTTCTCAAACTTTTTGTGGCAAAGGACTTTTAAATTTCCAGTGAGCCATGGGCTAAAACTATTATAAAATTTAGAAAACAATTACTGGAAAATGATATAAAAAAGGCCAGTCCAGTAGCCTCGTGGTTAAGGCAGCAGGATACCACATGGCCAAATGCAGTTTGAGTCCTGGCTCTGGCAGCTTGAAAAATATGCTGGGCATATATGCATGTGTGCCCAAAATCCTGACTGGATGGAGAAATGAAAGAGAAAGGATTGAGTTGTTACCATGCTCTGTTGGGGGCATGCTTCCTGCCTGTCTCTCTGGCAAGCATGTACTCCATAGCAATTTTAAAAATGAAATAAAAAAGGCATATAGGGGCTGGTAGGTGGCGAGGTAGTTAAGGGCGCTGAACTCCCACATAGCTGACCACAGTTTGAGTCCTTGACCTGGCAGCTTGCTTTCTCGCTTTCTTTCTTGCACTCTCTGGTCAAATTAAAATAATAATAATAAATGAAGTTAAATAAAACAATTCTTTAAAAAATATAAAAAGGCGAATAAAATACAAGCCCCATTTATTTTTATTATATAAAACAGAAGCCTAGGTTTTAAAAATTACATTCAATAGCCATAAAATTACTACAAAAAACTGTTATAACATTTTCAAATGGTTTACTTCTTCTTTTTTCTTTTCTTTTCTTTCTTTTTTTTTTTTTTGTGTGCCACAGGACATATGTACTACCTAGAGAGAGACAGAGAGAAGAAATAGAGGTAAAGTGAGAAATCACTCCCCAGAGGAGATGGCTATGCCATAATCCCTCTTCCTCCATTCTCTTTGGATTTCTGGCATGCACACACATACACCTAGTGTGAGTTTTAGTTACCAGGTCCGGGACTTGAACTGTGGCAAGGAACCCAAGGGACTGACAGAACAGTGAGAAACATGTAGAAAAGGTGAAAAGCCTAGTAATGGCGGCCAAGCAGTCATATGACCTGTGATTGGCCATGCAAAACTCCAGTCCCTTAACCACCATGCCACCTACTGGCCCCCAAATGGTTTACTCTTGAGTTTCTGTACTTATCTTTTCACAGACTAGTATTCTATATTCATATCATCAGGGACCATGAAGACCCAGTTTATGGACTAGCATGAACCATTAAAAATACATTATTACTAGACCCGTAGAATAGAGCACAGAGCTTGCAGTGCCTACTGGGTTCTCTGATGACCTGGACCATGTTGATGAGCGGCTTTGCAGTCAGGATGTTCCAGGGCTTAAGCAGTTGGTTTGGCTTGAGGCAGTTGGTGGCAGTGGTGGGCAGCCTGAGGAAGCAGGTAGCTCAAAGGAGATGCTCCACCCATGGGACACACACCACCCGAAGAGCCCTCCCAGACAGTGGTGGAGTCCATGGAGGAGGAACAACAGTATCAGGGGAAGAGGAGCTCCTCCACCAGGCCAAAGGCCTTGACAACTATCTAACTTTGCAACTGCTGCCACCAAAAAGATAACTGAATCAGTTGCTGAAACTGCATGAACAATACAAAAATCTATAATAGATGGGAAAATAGATGACGTCAGTAAGACAATTCTAGGAGATTTTCAGAAGAAACAGAAAAACTTTGTTGATGAGTAAAATACAAAGAAGTCAGAAGTAGTTGTGCCCCCCTTCCCCACCCCCCACTTGTAGGTTGACAATAATGATGAAGAAACTATCCAACAACAAATCTTGGCCTTATCAGATGACAGGAGGAATTTCCTTCAGGACCCTCTGGCTGCTGTGCAGTTTAATTTCGACTCTGGTCAGCTATATCATGTTGTCCTGGTCATGCGCCAAGCTCAGCTGCTGAGCAACATGTGATTCGTCCTCGTCCCTCAACTTGTGAAGGAAGTGTTTTGGAAGAACTACTACCAGATCTCCTTGATAAAGCAGTTGGCCCAGCTCACTGCCCTGGCCACCCAACAGCAGGCTGCAGGGAAGGAGGAAAAGAGCAAGGGCCAGGAGGAGGACCTGCTGCTGCCAGAGGTAATACAGCCCCCAATACCACCTGTCGAAATAAAATCTTAGCTTAAATCTCAAGAGGATGAGGAAGAAATTTCCACCAGCCCAGTTTGTCAATTATGCTGCAATGCCTAAATAAGGAAGATCTGAGGAAAGAAATGGAACAACTAGTGCTTGATAAAGAAAGAAAAGGAGACAGTGGCACTAGAAGAGTATTCTGTGGATTGGGAAAAAGAACTAATTATACAACAGGAACTTCAAGAGTATGAAGTGAGGACAGAATCAGAGAAATGAGAGGAAAACTAGGATAAGGAAATAGAAAAAAATGCTTCAAGAGAAAAATGAGCTGTTCCTGGTATAAAAGCTTAATCTTTAACATTCCGCAAACTGACGGTACATTGTAGATACTGACCACTCACTGAATCCCTGAAAGCACAAAAGAACAGAACTTTACGAAACTCAAAATTATTCTTTTTCCAAGGTGAAACTTGCCTCTACTTTAAAGAAATATAGAATAGTTACCTTAATAATCAAGAAAAGATGCTTTATGTAACAGTTCTATAATATAAATCAAGTTAGAGATGTTCTTTTAGGTGACAGGGATAGCTTTGCCACAGAAACACAAGTTTTAGAGTTCTGTTTTCCATGAGGTCAAAATGTAATTTATTCCTTAATCATGGTTTTCTAAACATTTGTACTCCTCTGTATTTCTGTTGACACTTGGACATTAAAGTAGTCACTTAATGAGTTGATTGCTATAGAAATGA